GGAAAAAAAAAAAAAAAAAAAAAAAAAAAAAAAGAAACACAGTTGACAACCCAGAACTTTGAAAACACAGGATCAGGCAACAGACCAGAGAGGGAAATATGAATTAAAGCAAGTAAATATTATCACATTTTCAGGAGGCAGTGCCATTCCAGGAAAGATAATAGCTTAATACTGAGGTTCAAAAGCCACTAAATGAAGATGGGGAAGCTAGGCTCCTATCCCTTTCAGCCCAAGAAAACACATCATTACAAAACAAAGCATACATCAATGGCCATGACATGTCTCAAATCATGCATACCCATCAGAATACAGTGACCAAAAAAAAAAAGCCTCTTATTATCTAGAAGGTCAGACAAACATACAAAGAGACTCTTAGAATACCTGATGACAAGTGCTACCTCAAGGTAAGCAAAAGCGGGTAGCCAGAGGCAGCAGCATCACCGAGTTGGGCTCTCTCCCACCCACAACCTTTACATAGACACATCACTTATAGTCATAAATTTGTACTCTCTAAGGTGCTTGCATGAAACACCCTACCTGATTTTATCCTCATGACAATTCCAGAAGTAGGTAAAGCAGATAAGATCATTGTTTATATATACGAAAAGTGAGGCTCAAAATACATTTAGTGACTAATCCAAGACAACGTGCACCCCCACACAGCCCCTTCCCAGTCTTCATTTATGCCCAACCTCAAAACCCAAGTACAGCCAACCTCACAGGAACTATGTAACCCTGGCCAGGTTAAACATTATAAACCTCAGGGTCCCAATCTGTAATAAGGTATAACAAAGCTTTTAGATTTTTTTTTTTTTTTTTTAAAGATGACCGGTAAGGGGATCTTAACCCTTGACTTGGTGTTGTCAGCACCACACTCACCCAGTGAGCAAACCAGCAATCCCTATATGGGATCCAAACCCGTGGCCTTGGTGTTATCAGCACTGCACTCTCCCGAGTGAGCCACAGGCCGGCCCCAAAGCTGTTAGATTAAAAAGATGATTCTTAGGGCCAAGCCCGTGGCGCACTTGGGAGAGTGCGGCGCTGGAAGCGCAGTAGTGCTCCCGCCGCGAGTTCGGATCCTATATAGGGATGACTGGTGCGCTCAGCTGCGGTGCAGCCGGTCTCAAAAAGGACAAAAAAAAAAAAAAAAAAAAAGATGATTCTTATAAAGGGCGTAGCACAATGCCAGAAACATACAGGCATACCTCATTTTATTGCGCCTTGCTTTACTATGCTTTGTAGATGCTGTGTTTTAAATAATTTGAAGGTTTGTGGCAACCCCGTGTCAAGCAAGTTTATCAGTGCCACTTTTCCAACAGCTGGCTGTTCCCTTCTCTCTCCCTCTCCTGAGGCCTCCCTATTCCCGGAGACACAACAATATTGAAATTAGGCCAACTAATAACCCTACAATAACCTCTAAGCATTCCAGTAAAAGGAAGAGTCGCACCTCTCCCACTTTAAATCAAAAGCTAGAAATGATTAAGCTTAGTGAGGAAGGCGTGTGGAAAGATGAGATAGGCTGAAAGCTAGGTCTTTTGCACCAGTTAGCCAAGTTGTGAATGCACAGGAAAAGTTCTGGAAGGAAATTGAAAGTGCTACTCTAGTGAACACATGAATGATAAGAAAGTGAAACAGCCTGACTGCTGATATGGAGAAAGTTTTAGTGGTCTGGATAGAAGATCAAACCAGTCACAACATTCCCTTCAGTCAAAGCCTAGCCCAGCGCAAGGCCCTAACTCTCTTCGATTCTATGAAGCCTGAGAAGTGAGGAAGTTGCAGAAGAAAAGTTTAAAGCTAGCAGAGGTTGGTTTATGAGGTTTAAGGAAAGAAGCTGTCTCCATAACAAAAGTACAAGGTGAAACAGCTGAGAGAGAAGCTGCAACGTTATCCAGTATATCCACCTAAAAAAATTGACGAAGGTGACTGCATTAAACAATAGATTTTCAACGCTGATGAAGTAGCCTTATATTGGAAAAAGATGCCATCTAGGACTTCCATAGCTAGAGAGAAGTCAATGTCTGGCTTCAAAGCTTCAAATAACAGGCTGATGCTCTTGTTGGGGTCTAATGCAGCTGGTAACTTTAAGTTGAAGCCAATGTTCATTTCCATTACAAAAATCCTAGGGGTTTAAGAATTATGCTAAATTTACTCTGCCTGTAACAAACAACAAAGCCTGGATGACAGCACATCTGTTTACAGCATGGTTTACTGAACATTTTAAGCCCACTTGGGAAAATATACAAAAAATGGTCAGGCTGAGGCCCCTCAGATGTTCAGAATCTTGCCAAGCATTTGATGTAAACAGGCATATACACTCAGGTGTTCCTTGGTTATTGTCTAGTGTAATTGCGCATGTGCACCCAGGTGTCCTGGGTTATGGACTTAAATATAAGGATGAGTGGCTCTGATCCACGGTGTCTCCCATACCCGGGATGCCTCTACTGCTGCTGGAGGCTGTTGCTGCTAGTGCCCCCGGGACCCTCTGCAAGGCCACTGCCACTGCCGGACCTGTAAGCTGCTGCTGCTGCTGAGGAAGCTGAGGACTGAGCTCATGTCATCTGCCAACAGCTCCTGGAATCTTTCCCAATTACTTAGTATGGACCTGCGTGTGAGGGGTCTGGGGACCTAGCCGGCATGTGAGGGGTCTGGTGACCCGGTCTGTACAATGGGTTTGGAGGGTCTGAGCCATAGCTCTGACAATATAAATGGGAACTTAGTATAACTAAAATAATGAAACATTTTGGCTTTAGTTATAATTTGCCTTACTTTACACCACTGTTGAAAACTACTGCTCAGAGAAAAGTCCTTCCAAAACATTACTGCTTATTAACAATGTACCTAGTCACCCAAGAACTCTGATGAAGATGTTCAAGGAGATTAATGCTTTCATGCCTGCTAATACAATATCCATTCTGCAACCCATGGACCAAAGCATAATTTCAACTTTCAAGTCTTATTTTTTAAGAATTACATTTGTTTCATACCTATTGTAGATTTTTTTAAAAATTACATTTGTAAGGCTATAGCTGCCATAGGTAGTGATTCTTCTGATGGCAAAATAGACTGAAAACCTTCTGAAAAGGATCCACCATTCTAGATGCAATTAAGAACATTTGTGATTCATGGGAAGAGGTCAAAATATCAACATAACAGGAGTTTGGAAGAAGTTGATTCCAACCCCCATGCATGACTTTGAGGGATTTGACTTCAGTGAAGTAACTACAGGTATGGTGGAAATAGCCAAACAACTAGAATTAGAAGTGGAGCCTGGAGATGTGACTGAGTTGCTGCAATCTCATGATAAAACCGTAACGGAAGAGCAACTGCTTCTTATGGATGAGCAAGGAAAGAGGTTTCTTGAGATGGCATCTACTCCAGGGGAAGATGCTGTGAACATTGTTGAAACGACAACCAAGGATTTAGAATATGACATAAACTTAGTTGACAAAGCAGCTGCAATGGTTGAGAGGATTGACTTCAATTTTGAAAGAAGTTCTACTGTGGGTAAAATGCTATCAAACAGCATCATATGCTGCAGAAATCTTTTGTGAAAAGAAGGGTCAATTGATGCAGCAAACTTCACTATTGTCTTAGTTAAATTGCCACAGACATGCCAACCTTCACCAACCACCACCCTGATCAGTCAGCAGCCACCAACATGGAGACAAGACTCTACACCAGCAAAAAACATTACAACTTGCTAAAGACTCAGATGATCCTTAACATTTTTTGGCAATAAAGTATTCTTAAATTAAGGTATATACGTTGTTTTTTAAGTCACAATGTTATTGCGCACTTAATAGACTACAGTATCGTGTAAACATAACTTTTATATGCACCGAGTCACAAAAAATTCGTGTGACTCGCTTTATTTCGATATTCGCTTTATTGGGGTGGTCTGAAACCGAACCGCAATATCCCCAGGTATGCCTGTAGTTGGTGCTCAGAAAATGTTTACTACTATTTCTACAACAATCGTTAATAACAAGCGAGGACTTTCCATTACAGGACCCCTCCGTCACAAGAAACGTGCATTACCCCCACCCCCGCCGCCCTCAGACATAATTCCAGGAGCAAGCCCCCAAACAGACCCTCTCCCTTAGGCACCTCCGGCTTCTCCACCTGGTGATGCCCTTCTTCCCGCAAACCATACACCCCATAAATTCTCGCCTTTCAGACTCCGTTAGGAAGGAGGCCTTCCGCTCGCACCGGCCTCGCCAGCACCCCCTTCAGGCCTGGGCATCCCTGCGCGCCCAGGCCGCACGACAGGCGCGGGCCCGCGCCGGTTACCTGCCCGCGCGCTCCCGCTCCGCCTGGCGCTTCCCCTGGATCGCACCTCGCCGCGGGCTCGCGCCAGCACAGTGAACACACAATTAGTTTGAACTATGGTCCCGCCCCCTCGCGCCGCTATCTGATTGGCCCCCGTCGGCTGTTGTCCTACGCGAGACACTCTTGAGGACCCAGGTAAAGGAAGTGTGAGGGCCACTGGGAAGGATGAAGGGATGTCACTACTTCCGGACCCCGGACTGGACTTGAGGACAAAGAAAACTACAAATCCCAGCATTCCCCGCGGCATTGGCGCCCCGCCGCTGACGAACTACAGGTCCCGGTAGGCATCGCGGGAGCGCTTAGGGCGCCGGCTGGGACGTGGTGACGAAGGGGGTTGCTATGGAGTTGCGTTGAGTAACCCTGAGGTAGTGGGACGCGGAGGCTGGAGCAAGCGACTGTGGGTGAGTCGGCGGGAAAACAGGAAACCGGCGCTAGGGAACTTGAGCTGCATGGAGAGGGGAGGGGCACCACAGAACGATTAAGAACTTCCCTACTCGGGACCTGAGATCTCCCCCACCAACCCTCAGATTCCTCACATGAATAAGACACCACACACATACGCGATAAACTGGGGGTTAGGGGGAGGGAAGGGCGCTGAGACACGTACCCATACAGATTTGATTTGGGGTGCTTTAGAACCTCCCCCATCGCAAACATGGGGCCCCAGATACAGATGCCTCAAAGTCCCACACACGCCCTGAGATATCTGAAACGCCCTCCCATGGGGTTGGTTTTCCACTCAGGAATTGAGACCTTCTTCAAGACATAGGAGTAGCATTTGATAGAGTAAATGACGGTCCCTAATTCTGGAGATGTAGGAAACTTTATGGGTCTTTAAGTGCCTTTTTCCTTCCTCTTCCAAGCAGGAAGACCCACTTTTCAGAGAATCAGCAGGATCTTCTTCCCTCACACACTCATTTAGGGCACGGTTTCCAAATTTATCTCTTCTCCCTACAGCTCCTCCATGGTCTGCTTCTTCTTTTTTTTTTTTTTTTTTTTTTTTTTTTTTTTTTTTTTTTTTTTTTTTTTCCCGGAAAGGGGTTC